CAAGTCCCCGAATTGTATAGTCCGAGTGTAGAGCTTGTTAGTACTGTCCCTCAAACCAACCTGGAGATTTCCTTGCACCATGAATAAGAGCTCAGATGCATGCACAAGGGTGGGTGTGGGCGTGTGGGGGCGGGTTGACACCCGTGCCAGGGAACTGAAGGACAGCAAGTCCACTGAAGGTGAAGAAATTCCCCTCCATTGTCTCTCCAGTCTGATCTTTAGGAACAATGAAGTCGGTCAAGATATATGGATCGCCTGCTTGAGCCATCCAGGAACTAGTAAGAATAGCAACAACAAAGACGACAACAGTTTTTGTGAGGCACGAGGCCATTTTCGCTCTTGTGAGGAGGGTATGAGATGAAGCCATTTGGACTTGGAAACGTTTTGGGAAATCTACACTGTATAGCTGCCAGAAAATGTATATTGTTTTGTATATTAATATTTCATATACATATTTTATACAGAATTAGTGTATATTTTTTTTCATATTTGGCCAGCGGTTATAATTATTCTCAACTGATCGGCCAAAGCTTGATCCTTATTTATTCTCTTTGCTACATATGGCAGAAACTAAAATAAAGTTTAACATGAGTTAACTTGCTGAAGCAGTCAGTCAGTAAAAGTTTTATCAGTTTCCCATCTACAACTAAAGGGTGAATCCAGTTTCTCTTCCGAGTCAAAACTCAAAAGCCAAATGTCCCAAAACTAGAAAAGGAATGAGATGCATTATCTAGTTCAACTTCATTTCAACTAAAGGGTTGGTTCTATTTTGAATAATTACCTTAACAATCCACCAGTAACACTATTACATTTATTTGCTCGAAGAAATGAACCTTGGGCCTAACTCGTCAAATCGATAAGTACAGATGTCAAACCATACCTTGGTTAAGCTTCACCATTGGAGGCATTGGAGAAGCCAGCATAAACAGAGTATAGGTCCAACTTCCAAAGAATGCATGCACAATTTCATTGACATTCAATGTTCTCCGCAGAATCTCCTCTGTTTCTTGTACATTTTACAGTGCATTTACAGTTTGCTCTAACCGTTCATGTCCAGAAGTTCAGATTACTCAATATAGAAAGTCCAATAATTATGTCGTCTTTTGCTTTCCATTGGCCAAATGTAACCAGAGCAGAAAGGCCTAATTGAAAGTCCCTTGTCAGAGTAACTTAAATATCTCAACAGCTTTCCCTTCTCAACAACTCAGAAAAACCAAACTGAAAACAAAAGGAAAGGATATGTTAGATTGGTACTGAACATGATTGATTAGCGATACATGAATGATTCCTCTAGACAAGTAATCGACAATCATGGTTTTATCTGACTACGAAAATGATTCCTAAATTTACTGCAAAGTGAAGAAGTTTCAATATGTCAAAGGGAGCCAAGCTGCCATTTCATCTGTGATATTACTGGTTTTACGATTAATCAACAACTGAAGTTTTCTCAATACTCACGATGTAGCATAGTTTTAATGACATCATGATACACCTATTATCATACTAGCCTTAAATTAATCTCTGATGCAAATCAATGCTGATTTTCAAGTTCGAAGCTGCCACCTGAGGCTGACTCAAAAAAATACAATCAGATAAATGAAGTTGGAGGGTGGTAATTTAATATCCATTCAACTATGCTCTAGAAGTTCGGAAAATGAGAAATGGAAAGAATTTGAATGGAACTTCATGATCTCCAACATAAGCTTAATGCTTATTTCTTTGGACCCTTTATCTTTGTGCAACAGACGAAGAATAGGGAGCAAAGCTGAGAAAAAAATAGGTGAGGACACGCACTTGTAAATCAGAGGAAGGTTCATCCCTTGCTCAGCACACGCACTCCACATCAATCCTTAAGGTGAGGACTCGATCGAGCAATCTATTGGCCACTCCTTTCCCTTTCTCGATTTCCACATCAATCTTTAAAATTATTTGCTTTTGCAAACTTCATGTGAATTTCTTACAGGGAACAGGCAAAGTGTATCTGAATCCAGCTTACGAGGAACGCTGAATTCAATGATCTTCACATCCTTAAGGTGAGGACTCGAGCAAACTTCATGTGACTTTCTTACAGGGATCATGCAAAATTGTACCTGATTGTAAAGTTGAGATTGCATATATCTAACCAACTGTACTCGAACTTTTGCTTCTTCAAAGGACTGAAATCGAAGAACAGGAGTATAGGAATTAACAACCCTCATCATAGAAACAAATAAACATTATGTGACAGGAAAAAGCAACTAATAAACAAACAAGGAGAAGTATATAGAAAGGATATTACAGGCGAGTTTACTGACAAAATAGCTTATGTTAATAAGAGGATAGAACTTTAGATGGCATACTAGATGAGATGACCATCAATCCAAATGCTGAGGCAGTCTCGCCTTTGCGCAAACATATAGATGCATATTGAAGTGATGGAGAAGGGCAACTCTCCTTGTATCCCATGGCAGATGATAGTACAGAGATGGCCACCACTTTACAGCGATCCGACACGATCTGAGGGTGGGCGAGGATATGCACCAGATTCCGCCAATTCACCAAGTGTGCATTGACTACAACAATTACAAACAAATTATAGGTTGGCATAAAGAAACACAGTATGAACACTTTTCTATTGGATGAGCTATACTCAAGGAAATAAAAGTTAGATGTTTAAAAATTTTCAATGTAATTACTGAAGTACACAAACGCGCATTCACCATGTGTCCATGACGTTGAGACGGGCATTTCACATAATTAAGACTGAACCTTGACAACTCTCTGCCCAGATTTTCCTTCCCATGTTAAGCAACAACATCTGATCACCACAATCCTGACAAAGAAAGAAAAATGATCGTTAAGCTGAGATCAGATAATCATATAACATAGCACTAACATTGTGTTTAGATGTTAAATTATGGAATACAAACTTTCTGTCTCGTATGCCTTTGTATCAGCATGGAGATTTGATGACTGTACACAAAAGCATAGAATGGGAAATAAATTTTGAAGAAAAAGCGATATTACCTCAAAAATTGGTAATGGAATCAATAGCAGGAGGCTATTTCTAGATGTTAAAGCGAAGTGAGGCACCAAAGACCGATTCTTAGCTCAGAAAGAGACGAGGGAAGCCTTTCTTCCAGCAGCGATAAAACTTCATTCCCTGAATGCAGCAAAACTTTACTCAGAGCAAATCAAGGCTGAACTGTATAATACACAGAGCTAGTGTCTCCTCAGCTATAACAAAATAACCTATTTTAATTTGGGAAAATATCAGTTTTAATTTGACAGTTGATAGCACTGGATGATTAAATCGACAACAGAAAATGACTAGTTCTTTTAACTGATGTATTGGAAGAAACTGTTGTACAAAATGTTGCACAATATTTTCTAAGAGTGATCAAAGAGAAGTAGTACGTTTCTTCACTTACACTTTGCTGACATACCACATTCAAGATAATTGTCCATTCGATAGAGAATGTCAGCGCAAATTTCCATTCACCAATGGAGCTAAGAGCGGTAATAGCTTGCATATTGTTACCCAAATCCTGATAAAAATAATTGCTAAGCTGATATCCGATAATCATATTGGGAACAAAACTTTTCTATTTTTTTTTAGAGATAGGAGGCAAACTTTGTGTCGTGTATACCTTTGATTTCTGTTAGAGCTTCGCATTCAATAGTGGACATGTGCATTACTCTAAACCACCTCCTCCTCTCTCAACTCACTGAAAAGGGGAAAGAACAAGAATACATGAATTTCTATTGAGATGAAAGTTCAAGCAATAAATGAACTAAAAATCTACAAGATAAAGAGCGAGATATATGAAAACAATACATGGATTGCTATTGATGAGATGAATTTCCAAAGACAATAAATAGATGGCTGACATACATGTGTGTGGTAACAAATTACTAGTTCATTAATATTACATTAAGCTATCAACGTACAAATATGTGAATTCCTACTAAATCATTTTTACAATGTTCCGGTGCAAATATAAGGATTTTATCACCTTTCTTTTTTGTCATCTAACATTCAATTCATCCCAAATTGAAGATGCTTCCTCTGTTTCATAACCTCTTCACACTGCTCAACAAGATTTTTAACAAAGGAAAATAATTAACAGAAAAGCAAAGAGAAGTAACAAAAAATAAAAAGCTACTTGAAAAGGAAAAAAAAAAAAAAATAACTTACATCTGTTAGAACCGATCATTATGGTGGGAATATGAGCAATATTTGGCCAGTAATCCCCCTTCTCAAATTCTAGGAGTGGTTTGAGCAGTGGGCAGCGAGAAATAGATAGTTCAGAGATGGAAGAGGGCATCCCTTTTACTGGAAGAGATTTGAGTTTAGAGCAATCCAAGATTTCCAGCTTAGAGAGGCAGGAGGGCAGCGCTGATTCTGGAAGAGGTTGGAGATTATTACCGCAACCACAGATAGGCAGCAGAGAGAGGAAGGAAGGCTTTCTTTTCACTTGAAGAGATTGGAGATTATGGCAATTCCAGATATAGAGCTTAGAGAGGGAGGAGGGCAGCGCTGATTCTGGAATAGATTTGAGTTGATTGCAGGAGATGATCTCTAGACGTTGAAGCGAGGTGACGCGTAGAAGACCTTTGGTCGGT